CGGGGCTGCGCACGGCCGGGACCAGCGCCCGGCCCGGCCACGGCTCCCCGCACGGCACCGACGAGGAGGCGGCCGCCGGCACCTCGTCCCCGGCGGTGACACCGAGCCCGGGCGGCACCTCCGTGGGGACGACCGCGGGGACGACCGCGGGGACAACCGTGGGGACGACCGCGGGGACCATCGCAGGGAGCAGTGAGGGGACCAAGGCAGCGCCGAGCAGCTCTGGCGCCCCGTCCCAGCCCGGTGCCACCACGCTGGCCGGCGGCGGAGCGGACGCCAGCTCGGAGGTGAGGGCAGCGCCCGGGGGCCGCGCGGGCCGCTCTGCCCGTCTCTGATGTCCCCCTCGCCTTGCAGGCCATCACCTGCCACGAGGTCAAAGACGTGCGAGAGCCCGAGGGCACCTGCCTGCAGCTCCAGGAGGCCAACACGTGTGTGAGTCGGAGCATCCCGAGGCGCCGGGGGACATGGGGAGGTCGTGAAGGGAGCGCGGCCCGGCTAGGAGCATACCACGCGGGATGGGAGCCTCCCGGGAGAAAAACAGCCCTCCGCAGCACAGCAAACCTCCCCTTCTCGCGGCTCGGCCGGGGGGTTTAGCTGCTGCTGCATCTTGCAGCGTGTTGGGCAGGAAACCTCCTCGGTTGTTTTTCTTCCTCTTCCCTGCTGGGAACGGCTCGGTCTTTCCTCGCCCAGCCAGCTGCCATAGGAAAGAGAAGCGGCTGCAACAAGGAGCTGCTTTAAAGGGAAAGGGTGGGAGATCCATGTCCTGAGGGGCCTCCAGGGAATCCCCTGGATTTGGGGTCTTTTACATCCCAAATTAAATATTTGTAAGAGCAGGAGACTCTGCCGTGTGCCGGCACACACAGAGCTTCAGTGCTTGCGGCCGGATGCGTTGGGACCTGGGGGACAGCAGCCTTGGTAATGCCCAATGACGATGATTAATTTAATTCAGCCAGGTTGAGACCACCCAGGAAGGCAGAATTCTTACTTGCCTTCTCTCCATAAATCGCCCATTAAATAGCACTTAGGCTTGTTCATGTCTATGGAGGCGGCAGTTTAGCAAGAATTTCATGGCCAGACTCCGGTGGGAATCAGTGACTCGGATCCCAGGTGCCATCTAGTGGCAACGTCCCCTTGTCCCGGGGACATCCTGCAGGTGCCACATGCACATCTGTATGAATGTGCATTGCATTGCATGCAATATTGCATTAATTCAATGCGTAGATATGCACTGAGTGCATATTTAATACACAGAACGTATCAGCCTGACCACGTAACCTCCCGCCGTGTGAATCGAGTGGAACTGCAGCATTTGTGCCCTGTTTTTGTCCCCCGTGGGCCTCTCCTTATGGAGCTAATGGTCCCAGGGGAAGCAGCAGCTCGGCCCGAGCAGGAGGCCGAGGAGGGGCCGGGGAGCAGATAAGAGAGCGGAGCAGCCACAGACAGGAGGGACTTCGCGCCTCTCTCCTTCCTGCTGCCTTTTCCCAAAGCAAATGAGCAATGAGCTGGCACCCAGCGCCGCTAATTGCAAAGGGAAACTCTGACACGCAAACGAGTTCTTTCCACAGCGGAGAGAGGAAAACACACGCTTGGGGCTCTTGTTCCATCTTGGCCTTCCTAAGGCCAAGCCAAGCGCTGCAGAAACAGCTGAAAATGATTTATTTGTTGTTCTCTCGTGGACGGGTTTCTGCATTTTTGTACGCTAAGAGTATGTGATGATTAGCGCGCGATATGGAGATAATTCCAGCTGGGAAAGGGCAGGCTCTGCAGGATGCTGCGCACCAGGCAGGGGCTGTGGGACCCCGAGGGGACAGGGGGGTCCTGGTCACCCAAGAGCAGCCCCAAGGCCTGGCCAGGGAAGCTCCTTCCCTGTTTGGGCCACGCGGGCCCTGTCCCCAAGCCTGGATCTGTTGGAAAGGCCAAGCTGGGAGCAGGACCATCCTGTCGCAGGCTGCAGGGAGAGGCTGCAGCTCTTCTCTTCCTCTCCCGCCCCATTTTGAGCTTAGCTCAAAATGTCAGAAATTTGTATTATTTTCCCCCCAGCCTTTGATCAGCAACCTAGCAAAAACACCAAAGACATTTCCTAAACAGGAAAGCCAACTTTGCTTTGTTATTTCCCTCCTTTCCCAGCCCTGCCTGGGATGCTGGAACAATAGGGGCTTCGCAGGCTGCTCTTTCATTCCAAAAATTGCAGGGACTGGCCTGGGCAATTCAGGTGCTAAATTTAGCTCTGTTTAAATGACATTTATGCTAATAATATCATCCTTTCATTTATCCTCCTCAAGTGGAGAAACAAAGAGCAGCATCACAGTCGCTGGGTGAAGATACTGGGCACAAAGCAGCCATGAGCTGGGATTTGAGCGGGTGGGATCAGCCCCATCCAGGGCTTATTTTGCTACGTGCTGCTGCTTGGGCACCGTGCGGACAAGCCCCCGAACGGGACGGGTTTGTGCACAGCGCAGAAGCAGCTCCGCTGTAATGGGGATGGGGAACGAGCGGGGCTGGCTGCTCTGACGGTTCCTCCTTGCACTCCCTGCAGAAACACTTCCTAGCCACCAAGGGCGCCGAGCTGTGGAGCGCGATATGCGAGCAGGGCGCCCGCCGCGTCCCCTCGCCCTGCCGGATCCAGCTGGCCGCCTCCGAGGTGGAGCGGGACTGTCTGCTCCTCGTCCTGCCCGGAGAAGCAGGTCAGCGGCGCCGGCCCCGCGGCGGCCGCGAGGGACCGAGGGGTGCGCGATGGGCACGGGGCAGGGATGCGGGACACGGAACCTCAGCCGCGTCCCAAGGGATGCTTCCCTTGGAATCCACAGGGATGTTTCCCTTGGAGTCCACAGGGATGCTTCCCTCGGTATCCACAGCTCCTTCTTGTGGGCTCTTGCAAGTGCTGCAGGCTCGGAGCAGCGCTGACGCTCCATAACATGCCTTTCCTCTTGCAGCCATTGCAGATCCCACCACGGATGTGCTCCACAAATCCCACTGGGAGAAGGTAAGCTCTTGGAGCTCCTTGCTGGGGTGGCCTGGGTGGAGATCTCCAGCCACTGATGTGGCTGAAATGGTTACTGAAAAATCCTATTTCTCTAAAGCAAAAGCATGAGGTCCCCAACAACAACTCGTAGTATGTCTTTGGCACTCCTTATCTCCCAAGTACCCCACGGATATCAACAAGCTTCTCCTCTCCAGGCTGCGTGCTCCGGGCGCGCTCGCCTTTCCTGTTTGCGAGCCTCTTGGCTCCGCTCTCTGTTTCCCTTTCGCAGCTTGGAATCAAATCCCTGAAGCGGGGCAGCGTGAGGAGCCACCAGGACTTTTCTCGGAAGACGCTGATCGCCCTGGTGACGTCCGGGCTCCTGCTGGCGTTCCTGGGCTTGGCCGGCTACTTCCTGATGAGGCGGCGGAGCTGGAGCCCCGCGGCAGAGAGGCTGGTTAGTGCTTACAGGTGGCAAAGCAGCACGTAGGGCGCAGGAGGCCGGGCCGAGCGCGCGGGCGCTGCGGATCCACGGCCGGACCCACATCCGTGTCCGTGTCCGTGTGAGGTGCAGCAGGAGGGGTTGGCCAGGAAAGGCAAGCAGGGCCGACAGGAGCCTGGGTCAACCCAGGCGGGAGGAAACGGCTCTTGCCTTCCCAAATTAGCTCTTTATTCATTGCTCCCTTGGGAAAACTGCCCCTTCCTCTCCGTTATTGTAGCTCTAGCACTTACCTCTGCTCAGCAGTAAGAGTTCATGCAGCAAGAGCCCTGCAGGGACACTGAAACCTTGGGAATTGGGCACTAAAAGTGGCTTCAAGGTCTCGTTTAGAGCATTTAAGGATGGGTTGTGTGTCTGACTTGTACCGATGCTGTAACAAAGGTTATTTCTCCCCTCAATTAATAATGATTAATAAAATATATCACGAAAGAAAGAAGAAGACATTCTCCTATTTCCGCTTTGCTCGAAGTGAGCCCGGAGGGCGACTTCTCACTTGCGGCTTGCAGGGATGTGAGTGCGGAGCAGGGGAAGCCGCGTCCTCCTCCGGGCACGGGTCGCAGCGGGACACGCACCGCTCTGCTCGGGGAAGAGCTTCAATGCCCTGAAGCCCTCAGCCAATCCCCATAAATGCGAATTTAGGCACATGGGTCAAAGATGGGGCGACCAGAGCCAGTTTCTAGGTGACACACGTGTCCCTCTGCCAGCGCCAGGGCTCAGGGAAGGCGCCGGCAGCCGCTCTGTGCCGGAGACCGAGGTGGCTGCTCTGGTCCCGCTCTCCATCCTCCTCCCAGCTCCCCCGGGAGCCGCACACGGGTCTGGCTGCAGGTACCAGCTCTGCGCCTGACCTCCCCCTTGCAGCTCCTCCGGGCGGGAGGAGCAGGAAGGAAACCCCATGGCTCCCATTCCGCAGGGATCCTTGTGTGGCCAGAGCGGGAGGCGCTGCGGGCTTGGCTTGCAGAGCCTGACGTCTTCTCTTTCCAGCCGGAGGGAAGGAGAGGAGGGAGTTTCTGGCCAGGCTCCCTGCCCCGCAGCCCGGCTCGGGTCCCTCCGTGCCGCGGGGAGCGGGATGCAGGGTCCGCACGCAGGGCCCTGCCCTCGCTAACGCTGCCTTTGCTTCACGCCCCGCGCAGGGAGAAGACCCCTATTACCCGGAGAGCGACAGCCAGGGCAACACGATGGCCACGACGGCGTCGCAGGAGCCCGCGGAGCGCCCCGAGAAGGGCAGCGCGCGCGGCGGCGCGCAGGAGAACGGCACGGGGCAGGCGGCCTCGCCGAACGGCTGCTCGGCCCCGGCGCACGGCCTGGCCGACACCGCCATGTGAAGGCGCCAGCAGCCCCGGGGCAGGACGCGCACGGACTCGCGGAGCTGCTCTGCTCCGGGCAGGGACTTGGGCAGCAGCCCAGAGCCCCAGAACCAGAGCCCCGCGTCACCGTGTCCCCCCGGCTCCCACGCCAAAAGGGCACGAGGAGCAACCGTGAAGCCAGCGGAGACCTCGGTCCGAGCGACCACGGGCTGCAAGTTGGGCTGGTTGCAGTAGTTAAGGTTACAATGACAAAACCCTCTCAGGTTTCAGGGAATTTTACATATAAAAGTTGGTTTTAGCCTAGTCTTTACATTTAAGAGCAGATTTTTTTGTCTTCCTTAAGGATGTCAAGTGTTTGCTGCCCCTTTTTGTACTTTATGTCTTTTTTTAGTGTTTAGCTCCTGTAGACTCTCCTGCAGCTGTATGTAAAACTGTCCATGTGGAATTGAAGGTTGGAATGTGAATAGACCTTGAACTCTTATTTTTTAATCCTCCCAGTACGCAGGGGGTTGTTTGACAGTAAAAACTCTTCCCTGGTCTCTTCATCTCGGGGACTCAAGACGGTGTTTGACAAGGCAGAGCGGGTAACGGATCATCCGTGTGGGATGGGATGCACGTGCAATGTCTGGTGGCTGGGATTTGGGGGGAAAAGGCGCCAGGGACCCCCATCTGAATGAGAAGAAGGTTCCCATGTGCGAGAGAGAGCCCCTAGCTCTGCTAGGGATGCTCTTCCCTCCGCATTCTGCAGTGGGCACATGGAAACAGAGGGATTTTCCCCTCTTCCCAGCACAGGAAGCCTTGGAGCAGGAGCAAGTCCCACCTCTGCCCTGCGCTGCTGCTGGTAGAGGTGTCCCAAGCCCGGGAAGATCCCAGGTGGGATGCGGAGGCTCCAGGGGTTTTGCACAGGGGTGCCGGGATGGTCCCACATCCCCTTGGATTTGGAGGGGCGAAGGGCTCATCCCACCCACACCGCCTGGCTCTGGCGCACGGTGCCAGGGGCACCTGGGGGGGGTCCCAGGGTTTTAGGTTCTTCGTTGTGCAAATTACTACTTCAAACCTAACTGTAAATAAGTTCCACTGGAAAAAAAAAAAGAAAAGAAAAAAAAAACAGCATTAAAAATCGCCTCCTCTGCTGTGTTCTTGGAACAACGGCCAGTTATCCCCCCGGGACGAGCGTCGTGCCAGCGCGACGGGAGGACAACGCCTCTCCGAGCCGGTGTTTTGCAACAGAAACGCGATGACTAAAGGCTGCGCCTTGTTCTCTGCGCCTTTTCCCTGTCTTCCAACAGCAAAAACCAGGACCGCTCTGGCAGAAGCCGCGGACACGTCCAGCTATTGGGCCTCGTTTGGGGGTGCCGAGGCTGCTGCCCACCTTTCTGCTGGGTGAACACGGCGCCTCCGGCTCCGGGCGCGGATGCTCCCGCGGGAACGCGCTCCCACCGAGAGCAAGGCAGGGTCCTGCCCCGAGGTAAAGGCAGGGATTCTGTCCCGACTGCAGGAAGCTCCTGGAGTGAACGGAGCAGAGCACAGTGTGCGTTTTGAGGGGTTTGGGCTGCTTCCTTTTCGTTTTTTTGGCTTCATTTGGCAGCTGCTCCTCTCTCTCCCCGGTGCCACCGGAGCCCGGAGCTCTGGTCCCACATCAGGTGCAGGGATTGTGGAGGGCCCGATGCCAGCCCGGCACAACGGGGTTACAGCCAACGGCGCCGGCAAAACAGGAGCTCTCCCTGCACCGGAGCGGCCGAGCAGGGACAAGACGGGAGGAAAAGGGACAGCTGGGCTGGTGGGAGCCTCGTGTCAGCACATGATGGGCTGGAGACGACCAGGTCATCTCTGCTCTGCATCTTCTGTTTATTATTATTATTATTATTATTATTATTATTATTATTATTATTATTATTATTATTATTATCTCTTTTGGTACACATAAATAACCACACATTCCAACCTGAAGCCGGATGCGGTTCAGAAGCAAATGAGCAACACAGGCCAATGCTGGTGCCTCCAGGAGGGTTCAAAACTGGGGGCAAGGCTTCGTACCCGTGAATACCCCATCCCTGCGGGCTTGGGAGGCTCCTGGGAATGTGCAGCCTCCCGCGCCAGGAGGGTGAATCCTGCTCGAGCCGCGGGATGGCTCCCGCAGCAGCCCCGGGATGACACTGGTGTTCTACCTGGTGCCTTCAAAGGGTTTTTTTCTTCAAAAAAAAAATCATAAAAATACTTCCTCTATGGATGCACAGCCCCCTGCTCGCTGCAATTTAGTTTAGAGAATGCAGAAATGCAATTGGTCTTAGGGCTAACAGGTACGTGCCTAATCCCCAGCACATGTCACGGCACCCGGTGGCCGACTGGAGAGGACCTTCTGGGCTGCAGTTCACCAAGGCTTCTGCGTGGCTTTGCAACCACGGCAGAAGCAGCCTGGGATGTATATAAATAACTAAAAATGCAATAAAAATACACATCTCTATCTCCAGAGCAATGCTGCTACCTGCTGGCTGTGCTCTGCTAGGGCACCGGGCACTTCCCTCTGGAGCTGGTGTTCCTGCAGCGGCTGCTGCTCCAGGTCCCAAGCCGAACCACGCAGTCCTTGTGCTCCCTGTTATCCCGAACCAAGCGGTCCTGATGCTCCACGTTATCCCGCATGTGGCAGCGCATTCCCAAAAACTGCATTGGGAAAAGGGAAATGCGGCCAGGGGCCTCCAGGCTCCTATTCGCAGAGCAGCGAACATCTGAAATGAAGTTTCCATCACTCCACTTCCCATCTGCTTGCTAAAGGCCTCCTTCTCCCAAATTTGTGTGGGAGCTGCACAATATTTGCTGCACCATCTGCTCTGAGACCGTGTGAGCTTTTTAATCAGAGCAAAAAGAAGGCAGAGATGCCCAGGTTCAATGGGGATTGCTGCTGAAACCTTGAGGGGAGCAATGGGAGAAGGAGCATGGAGTGCATCACTGCCTGAAGTGATGGGCTATTTCCATCTCTGCCTTCCAAACAAAGGGAATAACATTTGTTTGGAGTTTTTCCATCCTAAGGGGAAAAAAATGGATATTTACAGCATATTTACAACTATTTGCATTACAGGCGCTTCACAGGTGTTTTAATTCTGCCTTTAATCTTAGCCTTCACATTCATTTCATTTGCTGGTGCTTTGATTTGCAGTAAATGCAAATAACTTTCCCTCGAGACAAACGGAAAGGCGACAACAGAGGAACTGCAACGCAGCTCCGTGCTCCAGGAACGGTGACATGGGCGAGCCGGGGCTCCAGGCTCAGACATCTGGGATCAGTTTACCTTCCAATCCAGTGGGGGGACGAGTCGGAAGGTCCCTTCCAACCTTAGGGATTCTATGATTCTATGAGGAAATTACGTGCTTGGTTTTTTTTTCCTGGTGAAAAGCTGACATGCTTTTCTTCTTGGGAAAAAGAAACCAACAATTTTCTCTCAGTTTTCTCATAGAAACCTGTTTTGTTGGGGAAAAGAAAAGAAATAAAGGAGACTAGTTCTGGTTTCTCCCCCTAGCTGCAGAAAAGGGGCTCGGGAAGCTTCAGAGCGTGTTTCTGTTGTCTTGCACAAGATGCATAAGCTGCCCCAAGGGCCTTCACCAAATAAATTTACCTTCAGGCTCTATCTTTTTTATTCCTGTAAATGGCAGTACATTACCCTGCCTTATTTATTTGCTAGAGTTGGGTTTTTGTTACTTGTGGTTTTGTTTTTAATCTCCTTGTTTGCATCTTCCTTCCTCTCTTATCTTCCACTTGCCCCGAAGGCTTAGCGCTGCTTTGGCAACGTGCGAGCGTGCTGAGGAATGATAAGATGTCTAATTAATAGTTTAATTAGCCGTACAAGTTCTTAATAGCTTATTAAGGGGAAATCATCCAGAAAACTCTTTTCCTTTTTTTCCATTGGCTCAATGGAACTCACGGGCCAAGGGGTCTGCACAATATTCTGACTTTCCTAAGGAACCTTCCGACTCTCCTAAGGAACCTTCTCACAGTCTCATGAGGGACTCTGCACCACTAATGCTATTTCTATGGTTTTTTTTTTTTTTTTTTTTTTTTTTTTTTTGATAGCAGTTTAAAAGGACGAAGGAGTGCAAATTTGGGGACCAGGGCTGCTGGGCAAGGAAGAGAAAAAGTGCTTGCTCCTTTCCTTGCAATGTTTTCTTGCTCAACTTCATTAGAACTGCCTGGTTTTGTACTGAGGAATCCCTGGGCTATGAAGGCCAGAGGAGGAAGCACCACCTAAAGTCCCTGCAGATCCCTCCTGCCTTTTCCAGTAAGGAAGGGCTCTTGAGTCCTGCTTTGCAGCCCTGATGCTGAAAGGGCAACGCCAGCCCAGGCTGTTCCCATTTCTCCCCAGTTCTGCCCCCCACAGCTGCTTTTCTTCATTGCTTTTTGGTTTGTTGTGTTCTGTTTTCGTGTGTGTGACCCGCACAAGGATTTCTTGCTAAATTTATCGTGGCACTCGCAGGCAGCCTCGCTCAGAGGCCGCACGTTCCAAGGGGACACAGTGGCCTGGAGGCGCCGGTGACGCAGGAGCCGCCGCAGCCCCTTGACCTCCTGGCTGGGATTATCCCCGCGGCGCTCGCTCCGGCGCCCAGCTTGCAGCCTCTGCCTCTCAGGGCATTCCCGGAAGATCCACGCATGTCCCCAGGCCGTGACCTGGCATCTTTGGGGGATTTGCAGGGTGCCAGACAGGGAGCTGCGGCTTTGCTCTGGGTGCCCCGGCCCTGCGGCGCGAGGAGCCTTGGAGGCAGCGCAGTGTTCCCACGGCCTCTCAGCAAAACACTTAATCCTCGTTTCCACACGCGGAGCGGGGACGCTCGGCCCCTGTCCCCTGCGAGCAGGCGGCAATAAGGCCCTGGAGGGCGCGGGGGCTGTCGCACGGGGGCGGCTGCAAGGCGAGCCCCGCGGGCACGAGCGCGACCCGCAGAACCGCGCGGCTCCTCGGCCGCTTTTTGCGGCGGTCGCTGCACACGGGAGCGGCCGCCGGGGCCGCGGGGCAGGACTCGCGCGGGGCTGCG